TATACCCTCGCTTTTGAAAGTTACGTCGGGTCTGTGCCCCAGGGTTCTATGACAGGACCATTGTTATTCTTCATATACATCATTGACCTAGTTGACTTCTTAGGTCCAGACGGCTCGTTCGTTTATTTTCGGCATGCGTCCTCCTTTGAACCCTTTCTTCGACCGCTGTACAAAAATCTCTTAACAGTAAATTAAATCTTTCGGGCAAGTGGTGAGGTGAGCGTCAAATTATTATTAACTACGAAGAAACAGATCAAAAAGAGGACCCGACCATCAATGAGATGTCCGAGTAAAAATGCTTCGGTGTAACACTGACTACTAACCTTAAGAGGTTGGAGCATATTAAAATTATATCTTCAAGTGGCCGCCAAAATCTCGGATTGCTCAAAAAGAAGCTTTACGAGGTACCGAGTGAAGTAATAGACTTTTTTTATGTAACCATAATCCAAACTGGCCTAACAATCATCCGACCCGTCATGGAAGTGATAGCCGTTGCTATCATTTCCATATTGTGAAACACAAAACAGAACAAAAGCAATATATAGGCCAACTTGATACAAAACTTACAACTCAAGTTGCTTTTCAGGCGATTTAATAGACTCGATTCTCCATATCGGACACGTTACGTCTATCCAAGATGCATACTCTTAGTCTCCGACGAAAGACGCCCGGTTAATATTCCCGTGGTCTCTTTATTTCGTGGGCTGGCCATTGAACTTCAACGTTACCTTATCATGCTTGAAACTCGCTCGACTCGGCATCGCATTCACTCACCTTACCGCCCATCTTCGAACCAACTACCATACATCAATTCTTATTTCTCCAGGCCCATTGTTGAGGGAAATGAACAGCCAAACCTTTGAAACAGAAAGCGCCCCCCTGACTTATACTTCAAAATAACTTCAAGGTCACATTAGTATAATATTTCGTCATTGTTACTGCGAAATTTAAACGTTTGTGGTGTAAACCAAAAATTTTATTAATTCATTTTGTGCTACACTGTTCCCCCGAAACAAGCAGGATGTCTAGGGCTCCTCTGCACATAACCGCTGTTAAAAAATGGCGCTTCTGGCTTTCTACGTTGCTAGATTAATGTTTGTGTGCATTCTGTTCCACGCAGTAGTTTTTGTGAAAGATTTTGTTTTTGAAGTTACTGTTTTATTGCCTATGCAAAACCCCTCTTGCCTCAGGCCTTGTGGGGCTTGTAGTACCGTTAAATAAAATTGGTAAAGAACGCGCGTTTTCTGCTCGTAACGGTGGTTGTGTTCTTTTCATCTTTGAATTATTGTATGCTACGAGCATTTTAAAACGATACCGGAAAATGTGTATAACAATATAGTGTATCGCGTCTGTTTGTCTGGTATTTTGAGAGCTGCGAAATATAGTACAACATTTACCGGATGCTTTTCACTAGAAAATGGTCGCTGGGCTTGAACACAGATTTTGCACAGCAAACGTGCATGTCGTAAAAGATCGAAAACATCAGGCTTCGGGGCGTCAACGCCCTGTGCGATATTTAGTTTTTTTGTTTCTGTTCCCACTGACTGTATATAAAGGAATTTGCACTTCACTTACTTTATCCATCTTGAACCTCTTAAATGAGGAAAGGCTCGCTCTCTGCTCAGGAGGATCTACGTGGACAAATTTCAACCGAGGGATTCCCCTCACATAAGCGCTACATCCCAAGCAAAGTGAAGAGTAACAATCAAAATGCCGTTGGTATCACTTTGTAGCGGGCTCTTTGCAGCAAACTGATTACCACTATTTAGGCCGCGTGCAGTTTGTGGACACATCAAATAATAAAAATAAAAATTATTATTATTATTTCTTTATTCTTACATTTCGCATATATAGTTGGGTCATTCCTTATTATTTTTTTTTTGTACTGAATTACCTTAATTTTCTTGTTTTTTTTTCCTTTGGGGACACACAAACTGACGGGTGAATTTATTATGTGAAATCTTCTGTCATTTCATCTTGTGCATTTTTAGGGGCGAAGCTCGTTAGGGTCTAGCCTTGTCCGTCCGTCCGTCCGGCGTCCGTGCTCACATAAAAAGAAAAATGTTTGCGCAGTCGACAGGATTCGAACCTGTGCGGGGAGACCCCAATGGGTTTCTAGAGATATCTCCTTAAAGGGATGGTGAATCGAAATTTGGATTTCAAAAAAACAATGCGGGAGATGTAGGCGGGACGCTACAATCCCTAGAGCACTACTCATAAGGCGATATCTCAAATGGACGGCCGTATTATTGGAAAAAGAGGTCGAGATTGAACCACGCCGACGAGGCGCGTGACCGTCAAGATACATTGTTTCCTCCTCTCTTTGCTTCGCTCCCTCAAGGCGCTAAGCGGAGAAGACGCGAGGCCGTTCCCCCTCCTTCTCGGAGAAACATGACGTTAACATCTCTCCCAAATGCGCCTCCTATTTTGAAAAATACGGTCATCCGTTCGAGATATCGCTGTATGAGTGATGTTTTGGTGTTTATAGCATCCTGTTGCACGCTTTTGCCGCGTGTTTTGGGGAATCCAGATTTCGGTTCAGCACCCCTTTAACCCTCGGCCACGCTGCGGGACGAGTAGGGGGCTCTGAGATGTGGTAGTAACTCAAGAGGTGGGGTTTCTGTCATGGATGAAACGTTGCATGCAGCCGCTCAACGTCTATACAGAAGAGGGCGCTGCGGTCAAATGCGTATATAATCGTGTTAAACTTTGCATGCATTGGCTAAACGTTTATAGACGAGAGGGCGCTGCGGTCAAAGGCTCAAATGTGTATATAACCACGTTCCATACCACATATTCTCTTTCTGACATGGACCGTTGACTTAAGCGGTGGAGATGCGTTCCCACGGCTTCTAGCGGATCCAAGCTGATCCGCTAGAAGAACCACTGGCTCTGCATTTCACCGACCATAAAGCACTAATAATGAAGTCGAAACGCAACCCGGAACTCGGCAATACTTATGAGCAATAAAAAAATCAGCACCATCAGCACTACCTATGAACAATAAAATCAGTATCATCAGCACCACCAGAGCTTGGCCCCAATCAACATCATTCACCACGTAAAGATGCGGTCATTTCTTTTTTTTTGTAAACGCACCCGGAGTGAATTTGCCTGACTCAGCAAGAAATAATCGTGTCTTCAATTCGATACATCGTGTGTTTTTTTTGTTTTTTTTTCATTTTCTGGGTGATTTTGTGAGTGGATGAGTGTGCTAGTCAGTGTCCTTTTTTTATGACTCATCTTCAACCTACACACAAACTCGACTAAAACACCAACTCTGACTTCCCGCCTGTATTCTGATGAAACATTGAAGTGCGTGCGTGCGTGCTTGCGTGGGTTTTTTTTTTTTTTCGTGCTTATAATGGTGAGTTTTTGCGAATATCCGGTCGACCACATCAAATGCTGGATCTGATTACACAAGCTACAGCTACTTTGACCAAACCCGACACTCAAGTGTCCATACCACATATTTTAGCAAGTCTCGCTGGGAGAAAAAGGGCAAGCTTTGTATCTGCAGGCTTTGGAGCAGCAATATATAATGCAGATTTTTTTTTTTTTCAGAAATTTGAAAGTTAAACATTTCTCTCTGCTAGGAAGCTCGGCTAATGACGAGGCCGGAAAAACCTTTCCTAAAAATGGAGAGTGCCATACGACATAGGGCATGAAGTGAAGCGCCATGCTAGGTGTCACAACGCGCACTTCATTTTTTTCGGTGAAAACGTTTTTCCGACGATTCATCGCCGAGCTCTCTGAGCAGATCGCTGTGATTGGTGAGTACGATTGCTCTCCGGATAGGTAGAGGTACCTGGCATTTTTTTAGGGTGCAAGAACCATCTGAATTAAGTTATACCATTTTTCTCCCCGGAAGCAACCACTAGAGCTGACTGACATTGTTTCTAAAGGTTGATTTTTGGGGGTTTGAATTTAGTGTTCAGTGCGGTAAATGTCTGGCTCGCTATACTCATCAAATGAGTATACAAATAAAGGTATCTCAACGTTCTTCTCATTCACTCCAGTCGAAATTCCGCTACGACATCAGCCTCACACTAGAATTGTTAACACATTTTTGTTTGTTCTGTATTCGTGGAAATGGAAGACAAAATACCGCTCAGTAGCGTTCTTTTTTTTTACTGTACCGAAGATACATATATATACACGAGTAAGTTTCACAACCCCGGCTGGGCCTCTGAACATGGCGTTCCGCGTAATCAGTCAGCTTCCATTTTTAGATTATTTTCACGACCCTATCATTCACTAGCCTTCTTTGTGCATCTTAGTCGCTTGCTCTCCACGTGCAACGCGGTGAAGCAGGCGCGCAGTGGCTTCTTGGAGCGCGTTCACGTCTGTGCTGTATGTAGCGAGGAAGAAGGAGGGGGGGGGGGGGGGGCGCGTAAATGTCATCGACGGCTGACGACACGGGCCAATAGCTACTGCTCCAAAGCCTGCAGATACAAAGCTTTCCCTTTTTCTCCCAGCGAGACTTGCTAAAACTAGTGTGCGCAGAATGTCCAACTCAATTACGACGAGGCTCTAAATTAGTGGTGCAAATCGTTGACGAAGGAGGAAAAAAAAGCAGAAACGTCCAGTTTGGACGATATGAAAATATAACCATTTTTAGTATCTTGCGTTTTTTTTATTGAGCCATTAAATTATTTTGTAATCGAACAATACATTTTGTGCATCATTGCACACAAAAATGTTGCAGACAATAATATAGCTTGTGCGAAGGCGTGCTGCACAAAACAAAAAGTGTGCATGCGGACTGTCCTGCAATTTCCTAAACTTTACGCTCCTTACTCATTTTATTATGAGGATCTCGCCGTTAATCTCGCATACATGCAGAACTTTCCGAGCTCTGAATTTTGCAGTTGTGCACTTTTTTGTAATGCGACTATGGTTTTTTTGTATACATTTCGATGTAGCACAGCCAGCGCAGACTGACAGCTTAAAGACTATGCGCACGATCCTCATACATGTCTTCCATACTCTATTTGCAGTAACCGCCGAGGTTCACGACAACTCCGACAGCTTCGTCAGGGCCAAGACTGAAGAAAGCCAGAAGTCCGTCAGCAGCAGCTCCAATTCGAGCACGAGCACGGACGAAGGTATCTGCCAGGACGACGCCATCCTCGAGGACGACGAGAAAAGAGACTCAGACACAGTCTCGACGCCGCAGAGCAGCCGCAAGGCACCCTCCTCGGTCGACGCCGCATCGTCTGCATCGTCCACGACCGCTTGCAGCCCGGAGGACGACGAGATGGACACCGCAGCAGGAAGAACCACCATCTTCCACAGCTCTCAGTTGAACTGCAAGTCACCAACACTCGTCAAGAGTCCAAATCAGAATCAGACGGTGCTCAAGACAGTCGCAAAGACCCCAACACCCAAGGCATCGCCACCGATGGAGCCCAAGGTCCCTTCGCAAGCCATCCTGCGACCGACGCCTTGCTCGGCGATACTCAGAGAGGCCCAACCGCTCCCGCTTCGGGGTAAATCTTCGTCTTTGGCAGACTTGCTTGGGGAAACTGTCAAAGAGCAGCAGTCTCCTCAGCCATCCACGAACCAACAGCAGCCCGCGGCAAAGAAGTCAGTCGAAAACGGGCTCAAGAAGGCCTCCTCAACGCTATCTCTCCTCTCCTCAGCACTTCAAGTTCCACCACCACCACCGCCTGCTGCCGATAACACCTCTTGCGCCGACGTCAGTGGCAGTGACTCGGACTATGAGACCATATGCACGGTATCCACTTACAAGGAGGACAAAGCAGTTAAGGCATTAAGGCCTCCGCTCGCGCTTCCAGTCGAAGCATCGTCCAAGAACACCTACGAAGACGTGATCGATTCCGCGGTTCCGCCTCCCCCAAGCTGTGATCCGTCGCCACCTCCACCTCCGCCTCCACCTCCGAGAAACCAAGACGTCAAGCCCAGCTGTGAAAACACGCTGAAGAGGTCGACGGCAAGCCTCAGTGGAGACTGCCGCTCAGAAACGTCTTCCAACGCAGACACTGAAGACTCGGGGTCTTCGAGCGTCCACAGCGAGGAGAGGACGCTGCCACGTCTCTTCGAGAGGCCATTGTCCTTCATACCGCCTCAGTTTATGCAGCCACCAGATTCGGATACGAATCTGAAACCCTCGGAATATCTCAAGACCGTGTCCAACCGCCCAAAATCTGTTCTGGTCCCAAAGGAGCTCAAGGTCGACTCGATGCCAAGGAAGCTTGGTAAGGTCCTGGACAACCTGCCGTTGCCTACACCCCCGCAGATTTCAATTGTTTCGTCACCGGTAGCGGCTTGTCCGACAACAAATGGGACAAATGGAACAAGCGGGACGACCAACGGAACGTCAAACGGACAGGCCAACGGGACAGTTAATGGAGGAACAAACGGCACGGCAGGCGCTATCACAAATGGATCGATTGGATCAAGTACGGCGAACGGTTTAAGCGGTTTAAATGGATCAAGCACACTAAATGGTACGACGAATGGACAAAATGGAACAAACGGTAACTGCGACGAATCGCCGACGGCGTCTTTGTGTGAGGAGAAAGTGCGCAGCAACTCAACCAGTCACACGGATGGCGACGTCAGCAGTTCGAGCTCGGTGAAGAGTATGCCTAGCACCCCGTGCTCACCGCAGCCAAATGGTGGCGTGTTCTCGATAACCAAGGAGCAGCTTCAAAATGTACAGCTCAAGAGGACGGACAAGCCAAGCACAATAGGTGAGCATAAAGAGAGCATGCGGGCGTGTAGGACAACGGAAAATAAGAAAGGAAATCAAAAACAAATTTTTAATTCCTGCGAGCGGGCAAAAGAAAAAGTAGAATGGGACAGTAATAAAAATTGTTAATCTAAAAAATATCAATAGTCAATCGTTAGTCTCTTTTACTTTCCAAAGAACCCTAGCGAATGACAAGCTGCTGAAACATTTTTCGCGGGAGAAAATGCTCCTGACATCACTAAGATTAGCGTCTCGTTACTGTGCACAAAATTCATCATAGGGCGCCTTTTTTTTCTTGCGAGAACCATGAATGTTTTACTATTTTATTATTTGTTTAACTCCTGCTGCCGATGGCAATATCATCAAGTGCTTTACCACAAAAAGGCGCCCAAGTCCCTTTTATATATCATTCCAATAACCGCCCTTAGAACGCTGCTATCTTCGTCAACTTGGCTGTGGAACACGCTCTGAGCACGCGCAGTAGCTGTCTTCTGTAAAATATCTGACGTCGCGCGTGCGTCCTGAGCCCAGTGACTAAACATACTTGGCCCGAATGATAAGCGGTGGAAAGACGTAAAACGTGTAAGTTTCATCAGTGAAAAACGAATACAAATACGGTTTGCAGAACGCTGTGTGCTGCTCCAGAAGAATGGTGGTGCGCTGTTAGAGCAGAAGAGCACCATCATCGAAGAACTCAAGCAGTCCATGGACGGACAAGGAGTCCACGGCGTGCGAAAGATGAAAGAAGAAAGGTTGCGAATGGAAGAAGAGAAGGTGGGTGCATTACGCCACGTTAAAGCCTCTGTAAACGGAAGTGTAACGTGTGACCTGCTTTCCTAGCCTCTCTCTCTTTCTGACTGCCCAACGCCATTTTTTTAGCGAATTTGCCGGTCAATGATTACACGTGCGCTTTAGCGACGCCGTGATTGGCCGGCGCACTTCCCTGTCCTTCTCCCAGCATCTTTTTCCCTGGCTCTACGACGCCATTATTGAGCGAAAGCGCCTGCGAGGAGGAACATTTGAAACAATGAACCGCGTTACTTTCTGATATGTACAAGGGCTTTCGTCATCTAGCCTTGCCACTCAACGTATAGCACACGAGCAGTGGAAAGAGCAGTCTGTGGTTTTGTAGGTGGCCCCAATAAAGAGACCGTCGTTGGCTCGCATATACTCCATGTCACAGGTTGTGCGAAGCCCCATCAAAGGTACCGGCACAAAAGCATAGCTCTGTATACACAAGAAAATTCATTTCTGAAACAAGCCGCTTGCTCTCGTTTTCTAAAACAATAGAAAAACCCCTTCAGGTGAAGTGTAAACATGGGATATGTAAGCATACGCTACGTTTTGCTTAACAATACAATACTAATGTATACTGTTATATGAAACTTGTTCGAGCTTAATAATGTTGATTAAGTACATACTTCAGATAATAGTACTTGCTAATAAGTTTAAAAAATGTATACACTGCGTATCACAGTTTCGGCTTGCCTTTCGCATTGTCGGTTTGAGATTATGTAGCTTTATAATAGGCGGCACCAAAATATTTGAGCCCCCTATTCTAAAACTCTATACTGATTTGTTCGCTTGGGGGGAGGTTCAGCATTGCTCATGAATGACGCCAAGGCGTTATGTATCTAAGGCGCCTGGGCGGTGGTCACGCGGAACTCTTCAACAATCCTGAAAAATAACATACTTTCGGTCCTTGTTTAGTTGTCCTGATCTCTAGCCCCGGCTTTTTTGTTTCCTCGATGCGCAGGAGAAGAAAAAAGCTGAGGAGTTGCTGCAGCAGATCTCGGCCAAGAACTTCGTGGACACGATACCCGAGAAGGACGTGAACGGCTGCGTTATTCCCGCCTGGAAGCGTCAGATGCTCGCCAAGAAGGCCGCCGAGAAGGCGAGGAAGGAGGCCGAGGAAGTTCTCCAGGTACAAAAAAACAAAACCTTGACGGGAAAAAAAAAACTTGTTGGATTTTCACCGGCTCCGGCACGTTACGGGGCCGATCTCCATCTACACGAATCACCTCAGTTTGAAAATGAAGTAAACTTTTAAAGACAAATAATCTCGCGTATAGTATTTGTAAACAGCTATGGGTCACGTATCTCAGCAACAGTGGTACCATACAGCAACAATTGTGTCTTTTGCGTTTGGATGGTGGACATCACGAGAAATGCTTTAAATAGGCATCCGAACAGAACCTAGCTGGTACCATTTTGCTCACTTACGCATTATGAGTCCAACAGCGAACTCGCTCTACATTCGTGACTTAGATTACCATCATTTCGATGGGGGCCACTTTGCCTCCCTTTAAACCATACAAGTTACTAATGTTAATGTGTTTGCACACTATTCTAGTTCAGCAGAGCCGGGCTTGTTGGCCCTGCGGAAGGACGACCTTCAAACGTCAGTCTTTTTTGTCCAGTTGACAAAGTAGAGTATTGATGGCATGATTTAAAAGTACTCTCAATTGATGAAACACAAATCTTTCAAATAATATGTAAGTTCAATTTCGACGCACAGTCGCATTTGCTGAGTATGACAAGTCACTATAGCTACTGTAAAATACCCACTTTAAAAGCGGTGGCCAACGAAAGGGATATTTCTGCGGAGCTGATGGGTGTACGTGGATATTGGTAAATTCGGCTGTCATTTTGTATCAATTTTTCGGAAGGCCTGCAGAAGTGGGAAATAAATACAAGTGTGTGTAGAGGGAGCACCTTACAAGCACAATATGGCTGCGGCAATTTTTAACAAGTAGCTACGTTCAAGGTAACCTGGGTTGGACTCGGGAACGTTTAAACCCTGGCGTCTTCCCCGCAGCGCGAAGCCGAGGCGAAGAAGTGGACGTCTGTGCCGGTCTGGAAGCGACAGCTGCTCATGAAGAACGGCGACTCTACTTTACCCGGGCACAAGTAAACACACCTGCCTCGACTTAGTCACGCCCGCCATTTGACCGGTGGGGGGCATCGTTCAGAGTAAAGGCCGGTTCACACAGGAGCGTTTGCTTACGTTTTCTTGCGTTATAAGTCAAAGGAATACCGATGCCTCGAATGTCGCGTGCAAGGCTACTCCTTAAACTGCTTGCCACGTTTCATACGAAGCAGACATGTTCCGGTGATTCGCAACGTAAGCAGACGTAAGAAGACGTAAGCTTCCGTACCATAATGCAATATAAGCAAACGATGCTGTGTGAACCGGTCTGATGCTGCATTCACACTGGCGTTCGAATTGCAACGGTGAAGCGGATCCGCTCGTTTTCGTCATCAAATGCGCGTGAAACTGCACTGATTCTTTAAGCAACCGCGTTCGCAACCGCTTCGCAATTGCGGTTTAAACGCCAGTGTGTATGCGGCACTATGGTGCGTTTACATTTGAGGATCCGCGCCGACGCAGCGAGCGGATTTTGGAGCCGAATGGCAAAATGGACTCGTCACTAACAGAAAAGCTGGGTATGGGTCCCGCGCCGGTTCAGATTTTCCACCAGCGACGAGCGAATTTCTCCACCCGGCTCCAAAATTCTTTCACCACCGGCGCGGATCCGTTCGCAAATTCGCATGTGTAAACCAATAACTGGCCGCGAGTGACGCTATGCTTTGTCTAGGACAATTAGGCTACAAGCGTAAGCACTTTGCCGCTTGTTTGCGCTTCTACTACAAAAACGATCGAACTAAGAGCACTAGTCAAGCTCCCCGCTCGGGTTTTTAGCTTTCGCGGTTTGTCTATGAAAAGGTGCGCCGTCATCACCAAAGGCTAAGAGAGCTGAGACAATCGAGCTATCTCTCGTTCTTGTACGTGTAATAGTTTTGATCATACCGGCAGCGCACAAGGTTTTGAATAGGGTAGTGTTCTTCGAGTCACAATGCACAAGCACAGATGCAGTTCATTGACAGCACGTGTCAATTATAGGAAGAATAAAAAAAGGAGCACGTGAAAAGCAAAGGTAGTAGAAACATGTTTTGCGCAGAGGAAGAGGCGTCTGATCACGAATGTAGTAGTAAATGAAATAAATAAAATTAAACCAATCTTTATATTAGGTATCTAGACTCATTTGCGTAGAGGAAGCTGAACGATGACTATAGTCGTTATTTGCAAATTATTCTTTTTAGTGTTTTTTTATGGTAACAAAAGCATCACGAAGACAAACGTAATATACGCGGATTCTTAGATAGTCATGAAATTCGAAAAGAGGTAGGTTTTATAAATAAGTTTTGTTAACATATTCCCGTTCCTTTGCGTGTTGCATATTTGCGAATATTGCGAGCTTGTAATGTTGGCAAGTTTTACTTCGTCTTTCCGTGGTTCATTGTACAAACACACCGCAGTTTCTTTCTCCCAAGCCTTGAACTATGAGCCAAGAGCACAATCATTGCCATTGACTCTGTGTAGGTCGAACCCTATCTACTCGCCCAACCGAACCCAACCTCTGAGGCACCCGTATGCGCAGAACCATCGCACCATCGAAGCACTAGCTCGTCCTGGCTTATATTCACTGCTGTTATTTCGTCGAACTAAACGCCGCAGCAATCACTAGCTAAGTTATCTGTGTTGTTTACTTTAGAAAATTTTTTGAGTGCGCGAGAAAACGCAAGAGCTCTCACTTTTAACACATTATCTATAGGTAATGGCAAATGGATATGGGCATTTAAAACAGTATACTATTCAGATGTATATCTTTGACAAATTACACTGCACTCAATGAAGGCCCTGATTTGTGAGGACTATTAAGGTAACGCTACAATAATGTACAATGGCCTGTATAATAATATGTGACCGGCCGTCGACGATATATCGGATTGGGGCAGAGAAATGACGACGTTCAAGCGTTCCTTTCAAATTGTTTTTGCGCTCTTCCCTAATACGACATCACGGTAAATTTGCCGTTCACCACACTGCAGGACGCTCGGCAACAAGCCACTGACTGCGTCGCTGAGCTGTCCGGCGACGCCAACCCAAACGCTACCTCAGCCGGTGATGTCTTCCCAGCCGGCGACGCCTTCGCCCTCCGAAGGTCCCAGCGAAGCCGTGCCCGCCTCGCAGGACAGATCCCTGGTCATCGAAGAAGACGACAAGCCCCCGAACCCCTTCCTGCAGCAGGGTCTACGCAAAGTGAACGTGCGCCTTCACTGAAGCCAGCGTGGCCTGCCGCAGAAGAAGGGATTCGATGCCCTAAGGAAGACTTTACCTCACAGCCGTACACGAGTGTCCTAGAGCTCGTAGAGGCTCCGAAGAGCCACTCTAGATGCTTCCAGAAGCCTGCAGAACACCGTATCTTCGCTGTGTGAGAGTGGCCTCTTGTTCAGATGAGAGACTCGTGTGTTGCCGAGACGCTATAGGATACGCAATTAGACCGACCCCGCCAGAACTCGTCCCACACCTCCGGTACTGTCGTCTGCCAGATGGACTAAAGAGCGACGTCGTACCTGGAAAGCTCGTCACGTGGGCGGTCTTCTTTCTTTTTTGTGTGTGTGTGTGTTTTTGTCACTTGTGAAACTGCTTATGAGGCTTGCAATCGCCGTCTGCTACTCTAAAGAACGAAACCTTCTTAGAAGACACGAGAGGATTCAGCTCCAGGTGTACTTTGCTAAAGAGTCAGCTGGTCTTTGACGTCTTGTAGACTGTGGCGCGAGGTACGCGGACCCTTGACAGGCGCGGACACCTGGAGCTTAATTCTATGCCGAGCGAGGGAGATTCGAATTGTCGCACGCTTCTATCGATGCCCCGGTAAGAAGGTGCTGCCGATGATGCGGCAGCTGAGGCGCTGTCTCGCTATACCGATGTAAAAAGGAATAGTACATTTTTGTATAAAAGTGGCGGAGCAAATAGAGCCGCCCTTGAAATTAGTATTATTTTTTTTCCGCGAGCGATGACACACCACGTGCATCCTGTTTTGTAAATAGATCAGAACTATACTAATAGCGCTACTGCTTTTAATACGTGCGAAACGGAAAGTATGTTGACTCGAGAATGTCTGTGCTACCCGGAGCGTGTAACACTACTAAAATACCGCGCAAACCTTAACGGCGAAAGAATTATTTTATCAATTATTTTTTTAGGATGACTGAGGCTGCGTTACTCCAGAGCTGTGCGCGCCACGATATGTTTTAAATACGGCATTTGTTTATGGGCTTCAACTCCGACTGGTACAGGACTAAGATGCATATATGTCACAGTTCCGGTGAGAGCAGTGAAGTTGTCAGAATCTAAATATTTTTTGTCGTTGTCGCGCATGTGTTTTTGTATGAATGGCAGTATGGTTGGATCAATGATAGTGTGTGTGTTTTTCGGCGATGCTTTTATTCGCGAGAAATTATATCAAACGTTTCGTTATAGCTGTTAGCCCTTGTCGAATCACAAACCTATAGTACGTTTGTGCGGTGAAACCCTAAATGGCTAAGACAGGAAGGGAGCGTTGTCGTACGAGAACTTGGGGACGTTTTTTCGAGTGTGCAATGGGCGAGAGCACTTAAGAAACTGATGCTGCCACTAAGCAAGAACACACACTCAAAGGTAGGACTGTAAAATGGAAACATTAAATGAGCTCTTGTCCTTTCCTTGCAGTGACAATTAAGGGCAGACATGCTCGGTCTTGTAATGGCTCCCACCAGAAGGTACTGTTCTCGCCTGCAAGGTGCTGCGTAGCAGTGTGTCAGGAAGAGTACTGCAAGTGGCTGCCGAGAAAGCGTACCGGGGAGCTATGCCAAGAGACCGTGCTTAAGAGTCGCTGACGTCATTACCTGCAGTGGTAATGTTCCTACGACACGTTCAGTCCGATTGCACTGCTGCCGCGTACTGTGAAGCGCCTTATTTTCACCGTCGCGATGACGGTCGAGATACACGGAACAGCGTCATGCTCTGGAGAGAAGAACGACTCGCGATCCTAGGATATGCGAAAGGAGGACTCTGGTCAATGGTTGCCTGCTTTATGAACTTGCCGAGGATGGTAGACACCCGACGCATGTCTTTAGGTGATGCACACTGCTCCAAAGTTCGTTTCATGGGTGTTCAGTTCCCACGCAGGTACACTCAGTTTTGCGAATGGTTCTGGTTATCTGGGGGGTCGGCAGCTCATGCGTAGAAAGCGAGCACACGCTCTAGAACTCCGGCTTTCTTCAACTGAGCAAATCTCGTCGCGGCAGTCAACAATCAGTCTCAAATAGTCGGAAGACGAGCGACTGTTGCGTTTATTTTTCTGGTTTCCTATCGCTTCCGTCTGCCCTTCTGTTTCTGTGCGCATTTATGTTGTCTGAAAGCGTGTGTATATGTATTTCTTTCAAATCGAAATAAAGTGAGTGGCGCAAGTGAACCACCGAGCATCATTATTCACGTGTGTAGCCGCCTCGGTAGTTGTGACGGAACCGTATATGGTCTACGGGACCCAAGTTGGCAGCGTCCATCCAGACCGACAGGTGTACCGTCGTTATGTGTAACTTTTCACTTTCAAATAGCTTTTTTTGGCTACTTCTTGGCATACTAAAAGGTAACGGCACTTTGTTAACCTTTCTTAAGAACATGTACTACAGCTTCAAGCTTGCCTTCAGCCCAACGTATCACGAGCAATGGTTTTGTTGCGTCACAATTCAAATGGAAAAGCCGGAAGGAGTATGCTTGAAATGTCACAGTACTGGTCACAAGACTTGACCGTCGCGCTGCTGTGGTGAAGAGCGGAACTAAAGGTACGTGGTGCATAGACTCCCAGATTCCCGCCAAGCAAAGCCGGCAATCTCAGAGGCCACATGCCTAGTGTACACGCCTCCGTATACCTCAGCGGAACTGCGCTTTATTTTCGTAGTTTAGAAAACGGTGATGACCTCTGAAGGTGCTAATCCTACGAGCTAGCACGTGTGGTGGAGGCAGGTTTGAACTAGAGTCACTGAATCTTTAAAACGCGGCCGGACAAGAGTGAAAAGGCGCGCGTTCTTACGGACATCATGGGTTACAGTTTCTCCCAGGCACCGCAGCTCGGTAGAGTCGCTGTTACCTCACTCCTTCTACAGCGCTATAAGTTATAACTAGTATTCTGTGTTTTCGGAGTAAATTTTTCGTCAAATTCGGAGGGTGTTTTTCTGCGTTTATTTTTCGCCAAAAATTCGGAGTTCATTTTTGTATGGCTCCAAATTTACCGAAATTCGAAGTTTAATTCCGCAGTGTTTTCTGTTAGAAACAAATCAATAAATAATATCCAGGTGTAAACTAAAAAAATGAAACCCGTTGTATCATTTAATATTTTTTCATCTGGATTTGGCGTTGATGCCATTGCCATTGGGAATACTAATCTTTTTTCACGGCAAAGTTGCACACAAGTGTTGCTTTGATAAACGTCGATACCTTAACATTAATAAACTCCTGGAGGCAATTGCTGGGCGTACTCATCCCAACCTTTTCCAAAGGATGTAATAGAGAATTTCAACTGCCCCTCTTCCCCAATTTATGCAATCTCTATTGTTTATAGCTTTCCCTATTGCAAAAACACCTCTTCTTCCCCTAGAGCACAAATAGTATGGCTCAAACTAGAAACCAAAACAGTGATTTTTGTCATGACCCCAAAGTACAATGACATGTCCTGAATAAAGAAACCTTGACGAGATAAGCAGTAAGACCCCTCTTGACAATGGTTCGAGATTTGAAAGATGACTGTGGTGGTAACATTTACCCAGAACCATTGACCCTGTGCGCTGATCAAACTTAATTGTAAAATACCGAAAAATACCGGCGGGTAAAAACAGAGCCCTAGTTATAACTTGTTCTGGGAAGAGATCCATAGCTCACCGTCTGGGCCTCTTCGCTCAGTGGTTGAACTCGAGCAATTTCCAGACTTGTTAAGGCCTGCAGGCCACGAGGAACCTGCCTGCAGGAACGTAGGCGAATAACTCTTCCCCTTCTCAAAATATTTTCCATAAAGAAGGGTTCATTCCTGGTAAGTCAAACATATCTTAATCGGCGCACTACAGTCACTTAAGATGAGTACATTGCCACACACTATCAAGCGCTGTCGGAGCAGACGTCCAGGGTGGTTTAGGCAGTTCTGGGAAGGGTGGCGTGGTCGCACCCTCACAAGGCTAAAAGGAAAAAAAATCAATGCTCCTAAGCAAGAGCAAAGGCCACAAGGAAAGCCGCTCTCTAGCCCAGCGGTGTTCAAACAAGTCATATCACGTCAAAACACTACTCGCGTTCCACATCAATAGCGTGGATGCCTAACATTAAACTTCGTTTCCCTGTCAAACGATGCGTGTATGTCCTAGTCCCGCTAGAGCAACAAACAGAAACAACCGACACCAACAGACCTCAAACACGTACCGCATGCTGCACGCCAAGGTATATTTGGCAGGCTTGCAATCTTATGTGCTTACTGCCCGAGCACCGAGTGATTTGCAAGCCTGCCAAACCATCACCGGAGTGGATGCGCGCGCGACGCTTTCAGTTTCGCACCACGCCAATGGCACCACGACAGAACAGCACACGACAAAACAGCACGCGACAAAACAGCACGGTCAAAACAGCACGGTCAAAAGAGCACAGCGTCAAAACAGCACGACGACAAAACATCCCGTGTCAAAATAGCACGCGACAAAACAGCACAGCGTCAAAATAGCACGGCGACAAAACAGCACACGTCAAAACAGCACGCGTTAAAATAGCCCGCGACAAAACAGAACGCGTTAAAATAGCACGCGGCAGAAGAGCACAGCGACAAAACAGCACAGCGTCAAAAGGGCAGCGACAGAAGAGAACGGCGTCAAAAGGGCAGTGACAGAAGAGAACGGCGTCAAAACAAGGTCGCAACAAAACAGCACAGCGTCAAAACAGGGCAGGTTTGGTGTTTTCGGCTTTTATTATTTTGAAATTCGGCGTACTTTTTTTAAGTTGTCGGTTTATTGCGGTGAATATTTGTAGACTCATAAACTTCTCAATTCTTTTCGGTTTATAGTCGAAAACCAGTATACTGAAGAAACTGCAATATTGAAAAGCGTTTGTTTAAAGTATATAGTGAGTAAACCAGGTACTGGTTTTCTTAGTTGTTACTGTCTGTGGAAGCCAACGCGACCTTTTCTGCAAGACGCACTGGGGCCGTATCATGATCGGACATTATCGTCGTGTGCTCGTATTTGTACACAGGACAAACATGAGCTTCACTGTCACTTCGGTCGGAGAGCCAAATATTAAAATCCAGAAATTTGCAAGCATTGTACTTAGTGCGTTTTTCCTCCATTTTCACGACTGCGAGAGATGCTAAATTCGCGCCGATCATAGAAACGACAATAAAACAATCTTATTTAAGCCCTCCTCTAGTAGAGGGAAGCTAAAGGGGTTAAAAATGTGCGGCATATACGGACGCCCTTGATTTTTTTTTTTTTTTTTAGTTCACGTTTTAATTCTTTACTTTGAACAAACAATTCGACACACAAATCCCTATCAGGCGAAAAACCCAGATTTTGTCCTGAAGACACCTGCGGCCCCTAAGCTTTTGTTGAAAGTAGAACTGATCTCGGAGACAAGCTAGAAACTGCGAAAGGAAGTAGTAATACGGATCAGTAATGAGTCACAACCCCCCCCCCCCCCAACCCACCCCTCTAAACGCCCTCAAAATACTGACCCTTTTCAGTTAATACTGACCTTTTTTTTTTTTTTTTTTTTTTTGCTGACTATCAATGACTACAGAAATATCCGACATACCTACAAACAACAGCTTCGCTTTTAAAAGAGGTTCGACAATTGCAAATAATTGTTTAAAGCTTTCCGCCTGTCAGCTTACGGGAATGCTTTACGCTGGATGCCGATAGCTAACTGCCTGTTGTGCAATATATTCTGACAAATTTTGGTTTACTACCAACTTCCCTGCCTTCCAAACTGTGGGTTCGTCAGATCCAGTGGGGGCTCGCGAAGCAACTGCTGCCATCAGTATTTTTTTATGGACACCACTTTAGCTAGTTTCAGCATACATTTTATTATGTGGACTGCTACTAGTACTTATCTTTGAAACTGACAATTCTAGGCTCGTGAAAAGCGCAAGCCGGGGTCGTGACGCGATCTTTTATATTTTTGGGGGGTTTCGGGGTTGGGGAATTTGGTAAGCACTAAAATAAACAATTAATTTCTTTATGTTTTAGCGACAAAAAATAAAAGGGTCAAGGAGGTTCATAATGATTCCTGCAGAGAGAGGTAAAGAGCGCGCTCGAAGTTGCTACATGCGTGCTGTTTTATCGCAGAGCTGTTTTGATGCCGTGCTGTTTTAGCACGTGCTCTTCTGTCGCTGTGCCGTTCTGACGCTGTGCTGTTTTGTCGTGTGCTATTTTGACGGGTGCTGTTTTGTCGCTATGCTGTTTTTACGCTGTGCTGTTTTGACGCGTGCTGTTCTGTCGCGTGTTGTTTTGTCGTGTGCTGTTCTGTCGCGTTCCCCTCGCCAATAGCCTATTCCAAAAATATATGGCGCTCCAACGTATGCTTGGTGGATTATGACGATCCGATGTAAGGTAAGTGAAAGGTCACAATGATTTCAGGGTTAAAAGCGCTAGAAAACGAGGACCAGTAAAAGAAGACACACGCACAGTAGTGGAGAGAAAGCAACCCCCCCCCCTCTCTTTTATACCCCCCCCCCCCTTTCAAATCAGGTGAAAGGGGAAGGTTACTAGACACAGTTCTGAAAAACCGCCTTCCTCAAGTACGTGAGAACGGAATTCAGGACCACTTTGCTGTGGTGTGGAGGTCGCGTAGGCTGAGTCAAGGTGCGCTCACTCGTAGGATTTTCTGTCGTTGGGCAGCTGGGCCCACGCGGCGTCCCGGTGCTCTTGTAATGTCGTGCATTCCCAAAGAGGGTTTCGGAGGTTAGTAGTTGGAACCTCAACTCCTTCTGGGGTACACCGAGTGCAGTTATACTTTTCGGCTTTCTTCTCGAAGAGTACATGCTTGTTTGGGCGTGTTGCGCCTCCAGTACGCATCCTTCGGACTCGAACGGCCGCCCATCGGATGACGGTTTGTTTTTTGTGATTTTAAAATGAAAAAAAGGCAGAAGAAAACAAGACAAAGCACGTAATTACCTTTTTTTTTCTCGTTTATTCGTAAGCTTGTTTGTTGTTGTTCTTGTTTTCTGCGTTCTGAATTAAAAATAATAGAAGAGTTGATCGTGCCGCTTCCAGGATACAAGAAACGTCTAAGGTGGCCTTTCTGTAGATCAAAGCAGCCCCACAATTCCCCTCCCCGCGCAAGGCAACGTGGGATAGCCATAAGATCTCCTGGAATTTTCCGAAAGAGTCTACAGGCCAACTCGCTGTTTACAAACAAGCCTTCGTTTACCGACACCTAGAGCTA